TTAGTATTCCACAAAAATTTTCATATATATAAATAAATAAATATTTTTTTTATCCAATGCAAGGTATATGTGTTTCCTATCGCATTTGTTTCATGTAGTTTACGTGACTTAATGTTATATTGCAATTGATTTATTTCTTTCTCGTTTTTCAAGTGAACCAATTACATTTAATTTGTACGCATTTACTATTCACGATTGAATCAGAGTTTTTTCAATTTAAATGCGAATAATTTTGTTGTCTCCAAAAATTTTCAAATGCGTAGTGATTTTGATTTATTTCTCAATTTTTCCTAACGTCTTACTGAGACTTATAGATTTTAATATTGCGATAATAGTCCTAGTCTTAAAAAAGGAATCAAGCAACTAATATCCCACCAGATAAAATAGTACTACTTTATTATTATTTAATAATTCCTAGTTCCGCCTGGCAGCATTTCTCAAAACGTCCTGTATATTTTATGTGAGCAAAGAAGTTTATTCATTTATACCCATATAAATATTTTTTGGAAATGTTTCAAAAAGAGAAACTGTCACTTATATTCTTGATATTTGGGATGTCAGATAAGTCAGGAGGGAAGAAGTAGTTGGGATATAAAGCAAAGGATAGTGCAGAGTCGACTCGCCTTCAGTTAAGAGTCACTTCTATGCTCGCGAACGGTTAAATTAGAAATTCGAAAAAGNGTTAAAGCACCTATAAATAAATATATATATGGTAAACAGCTTCCTACACACAAATTTCAAAATACATTTCCATTATTATATGCAACATCTATCTGAAGGATATAAACAATTCGGTTAGCAGACATGACCCAAATAGGGCATCGTCGATAGTTCTAGTTACCCACATAGGTAGCTCTTAACATCCCACCACAGAAGAGACGTATGGGCTCAGTTAGCGATGGTCATTTAGATAAACAGTCGCTACTTAACGATTAGTTACCATCGTGGTACAATAGAGACAACGCAACGTCTTATTGTCCTTATATTAAATGTATGTGATGCGATAATTGTTACCAGTATCTTATATATAAATAATATTATGGGTCGGAGAAACGGCATCGTTGGGATTCTTTTCGTCCTCACGTGTGCCCTTTCCTTATGGGATCTAGTTGCAAATGCTGTTAACATCGATTCAAGTAAGTGCAAGGACCTAACATGACGGCAGATTCTAAAAATCGATTTGTAAAGTGCTATTAATTACATTCATAAATTTATTATATACAGTGATAATTATTTTTCGCTAATTCCGGTAGAAGATACAAAGAAATGTTTTTAAAATATGGAAATTAATATCTAAATAATTGTTACAAAAATTGTCGGTAGTTAATTAAAATAATAAATAATCATCTCGTATTCTCACAAAAAGAAATTAATTAAATATTAATTAGTTACAGTTTATATTTTAAAACAATTTTTTGTATGATATGATAATATAATTATAAGTATGTAACTTTTGAAAAAGTAAAGTTACATTAGGAAGGAGATTAACTTATACTGATATATTATTGAGAGGCTTCA